ACCAAAAGATCTGCAAGGCCTAGCATCTGCCATCAATACTGCTCTATCACAACACCCCTAGTATGGACAAAACAAATAAGATATAAGGTGTTAATTAGTGAACTGTGGAGCTGCTGGTATACCGATTTTGTTTGCATTTGACTGAGCCACTGTTTCCCCCTGTTTCCAGTAGTATCCTTATTAAATAACGCAACCTAGAGTTCCTCAGCCAGTAGTTGTAATGAATAGGCTGGTGTTAAAGCATGGACGTCATTTTTTTAAAAGTAGAGTGGAGTAAGCCTCTCTAGTGTGCTGCAGTATATAGTATGCTCTCCATGCTAAACTGAGGTGAACCAAAAGGATCCCTGGCACCTGCTGGGTCAAGGCTTAGCTCTAATCCTGTCACATCCAGGTAAACTCTGGAGAATCCAAGGGAGGTTTGGCAAGAGTACGGTTGGGGAATAACGTTAGCGTAGCAGGCTAAGACTCCAGCCATTCACAGACTGTCTGTTGCCCATCTTTCCTGTCTCTCTCGACTTCACAGTCTCTTATAAAAACATGTTAAAACAAAAACAGTTTGCCCAGGTTGTCATTGTGTGTGTGTGTGTGTGTGTGTGTGTGTGCCTGAGTGAAGGAGGTAATTGTTTGTCCGTTGGCTCCTCTCACCGAAGACCTTAATGTATTCCATTGTACCTGTCCCATTCTGCACAAAATGGAAAACAGTGAATGAGGAAACAATGCGTGGATTTAAAGGATGTCCTTCACCAGGCTCTCAAAAGGCATTCAGCTCTGCCACAACAATACACTGTAAGAGCTTTCTATAGTTAATAAGACAGATACATCAGTGACCTTTAACAATCTTGAGCTGTATCTGTTACAGTTTTGTAACATTCATTGCACTCCAGCCAGGTGTTTTGTTATGTTCACCCAGCAAGCAAACATACAAGGAGAGCTGATGGCCTTGAGGGTGAAAGGTCTTGGCCCTCGTCTGTTTTACTCTTGCACTTTTAGAAAAGCCAACAGATTGCCCTTCTCAGAAAATCCCCTCTAAAAGGCTTCTGGGTTGGATTTGTGGTTGGGCGAGGCGAAGGTGGATGCGGCAGAGATAAGCCTGTGCAAGGTTAGAGGCCATTCCATCATGGCCCGGGTCTGTGTCATTCTTCAGGCCACTGTGGACAAGAGTCCCAAAAGTCAAAACTTTGATACATCAGCTCTGATTTTGTGTCAGTGCACCAACTCTCAGTCATTTTTATGTGTCTGAAGGAGGGTTTGAATGCATACATTTTTCATGGATATTCATGGCATATAGACAGATGGTTGTGTGCAGAATTAGACCATAAAAAGGCACGGGGTCATGTGATGCTTGAACTCAATGCCACTGACAATTGCATACATACAGATTTATAAATACTAGATACTGTAATCAATGCCTTTATAAATAGAGAGGAGAAGACCTCAGTCTGAAGGTTTTATTTTAGTAATCATGGTATAAACTGACATATTAATGTATTCACCTAAAGAACCACCAAATCTCATTCAGGAACTGAATGAATATCATGTGTGATATCTATTCATTAGATTTATGTGTGCTAATTTAATCCACCCCTTTTTTAAGATTAGCTAAATCACTACTGTCATCCCATATAATTATGCATTCACCCTGTGACTGCATATACCCATCATATTTGTCACCCAACTGCCACAAATTTCTATTTCTTTTCTTCTTCCTCCTCTTCCTCTGTCCTCTCTCTCTCTCTCTCTCTCTCTTTACCACAAATCAACTGATGCCATGTAGCATCATTTAAATCAAAACAGCAAGGCAGTTTCTCCTGAGGTACTCCTCTTTTTAAGATTTAATGAAGACTTTCCTGTTTTCTTAAACAAGATATTTCCCTCAAGTTGTAAGTCTCAACACACTGCCCCACACTCTGATGTTTCTCAAAGCAGCTCAGGCCTGGTTGTGTGTCTTTGAATATAATACAGGTTGGCTTCAAAGAGGGAAGGCTGTGAGCAATGAAATGGTTATTTTTAAAGGAATGGTTTGACAGTGTATTAGTTTCTTATCTAAATCTATCTACCCTTATCTAAATACAAAGCTGCAGTCAGCAGCTGGTTAGCTTCGCTTAGCACAAAGGGGAAACGGGGGGAAACAGCTTGCCTGGCTCTGCCTGAAGATAACAAAATCTGCCACCAGTGAGTGCATTTTAAGCTCACTAATTAACACACCGTATCAAGACCTCAGGAAGTCTCAAACCTGTCCCTGCCAAGAAGTAATCTCCCACATAACCCACTGTAAAACCACAACGTCTTGTTTTTACACTTCCATTTTTGTAAGGATTAAACAAATAAGATTCAATGTATTAATTTGTCAACTTTTGCCAAAGAAGCAAATAACCATGTTTGCTGACATTTTGAGCAATTTCTCTGAGGAAACACTGGTGAATATTTTCCAGATTCTTCAAAACACTTTCCTTGATAAAGTTCAGTTTCGCAGCTTTACCTTACCTGTGTCTTATTGCTTTGTCTTATCTAATTGTATTGTTCCTAAACAATGCACAACACATGGTGTTATAGCCTACTATCTTTATACGTAGGTTATCATTAAACAACTCACTGTTTTTTTCTGTGTGACGATCCTAAAGGAATCTGATATGAGTGTTACACAATACACAACACTGAAGATATCATATCAAGATGAACTTGTTTTCTGAGGTGTTAATATGGGAGGCCATGTTAACACGCATAACATCTTATCCTATCATTCTGATTTATCTACGAAACTGCCAATAAGTGAGACTGCCCAGCTGTAGCTTTGTTCCCAGGCCAAATGAAATCCTTTTAGGAGCTCTCCTTTTTGACCATCATCTGCTTGTGTTTTTCTTTTTCTCTCATTCTGCAAATGTATTTTTCTCTCATCCCCTCAGCCCTGCATCTTCCTTCCCCCTTTTATTCCTGCACCAACACACACACACACACACACACACACATACACACACACACACACACACACACACACACACATACACACACACATATACACACACTCGCACAGTGACAAGGGGACCAGCTACAGTCGCATCACATAGTTGCTCCAAACCACTCTGCTCTCCACTCCACTTTGCTTCACTTCATTTCACTCCAAAACCCAGCATGTCAACAAAGGGTGGGGGGTGGGGGACTGCGTCAAAATAATAATACACATGGGAACCCAAGGCCCCCCGGTGGGAGATTTTATTTGTTACATGAGCACTTAGCATTCATTATTTAATCGGATACAAGACTCCTGATTACATCAAGAGTTAAAATCAAATAACCCTGCTGGTCTCAGATGCTATTCACAGTCTCTACTACTTATTGTGGTTCATCCAAGTAGGAGATGTTTGTGGGGATGTATATCAGGCGGGGATGCCCTTTAGCATGATGTAGCATACAGCTTACATGTTGCCACAGTGGTTGCTCCTTTGGCAGTCAGTCAGATGCTCATCTAGCTATAATGGAGAGAGAGAGAGAGAAGTAGTCCTGGAAATGGAAAGGGCTTCGGTCCCGATTCAGCCTTTAAGCTGCTTTAGAGGATTTCTGGGTATTTTTTCTCTCCCTCCCTCTAAAACAGACAGCTGATATTGGCTCTGAACCAGAAGAGGAGAGGGCAGAAGCCCTGAGCTTTCACTGCGCAGCTGCAGACACAGGGCAGGGAAGGGCCAAGCTGCTTTGTCTTGGCTTTATAATCCACTCTTGGGAGACACGTGAGAGCAGAGACTGCTGCCAGGAAGGTCCTGCCGCTCCCTACTGGGGACATGCTGCTACAAGTGTCCCTAGGTGACCGCAAGAAACCATGCTCAGTTCAAGCTAAATATTTTTGCTGACTCGGACTATATGTTTTTATTAAGCTGTCAATCCCAGAAATATCTGTTGTGACATCATTGAGTTGACCATAAGTGTAACATGCTGGAAAGGTTTAATCTCATAGAGAGCAGCACCGTAACAGCTTTCTGCTTTACTAAATTTATCGTGCATGGATTTTGGTGAAGTTCAAGGTTATGGTCACTGTAGTAATGGAGGATTCACTGAGTTTGGGCTTTTGAGAGAGTCTGGGTTCAGATCAGGCAAACCAAAGTACTGTAAAATATTCATTAATTTTTTATACCTGCTTGTTCCTCTCAAGATTGGGGCAGTTCAAGTACAGAAAGTATAGCCATACAACCATTATATATAGCTTACCTCTGACAGAAATCAATGCAGACTCAGTGTTCACTGTGAAAGTTTTACAATTCAAGTTTTGAGATCACTGTTTTTTATTCCATATGGAAATGAATGAGAATGAATGGCTGAATTGAATGTTGGAAAAAAACATATCTAGACACTCTAACCAATAAGACAACTATTTGAAAATGTTCTGTCAAAATGTGAAGTGAAATCAAAATGCAATTAAGTTAAAATGAATTCAGAAATTTAAGGTGGGCTCACTATTCAGTAATTCAAGGACACAAACCATTAATTTAAGGCAACAGTTACTAATAAATAATAAATAAAAAGGAGTAGACTTGTTCCTGTTAGACTACATACAATAGAGTAGAACATTAATGCAGACTTACATACATCCTGCATACATAAAGTATACATACCCCCATACATACATGCATGCATATATGCATACTGCCATATGCATGCTCATGGATTTATTGATTCATTTATTATTTATATAATAATATATTATTATTTATTCATTTAACAGCTACCCTTTAACAAAGTATGTATGATCTTGTTCATTATCATTAAACCTTAAAACTGCAGTATTTCATTACAGTGCAGCTGCTCAAAGTTCACTTGAGTGTCATGCACTGAATTTAGACAATAGCACCCGCGAGTGGAGAACTGAGATTATCGCATATTATGGGTATAATTCTGTAATAATCCACGGGGTGGTGCTGTTTAACCAAATATTATTTTGTCCGGACGTTCTCGAGCGCTACCGTAGAAACCCGAAGCGAACCCCGGAAGCTCCCTCGTTACTGGTCGCTGTCTGTAAGAGCGATGTGTTGCTGCTGCTGCGGGTACGGCTGCGTTGGAGCTGGAGTTTAGCACTAACGGGACATCCATCACAATGTATTAAGAAGACACCACCAGCAAAAGAAATTAGGAATATTAAGGTCTGTCGTTTCTCTGTCACTCTGGAGGCTCAGCTTTTCCACTCGACGCTCGCATACACTGTTAGCATGCTAGCCCTGTTAGCTTCCGTCAGTGGCTAGTTAGCAAGCGAGATTTACCAGCCAGTCCAGTTGCATGTGAAGTGTCAGGCTAGCAAGCCGCTGTGCCCGGTGTGTACATATATATATGTGTGTGTGTGTGTGCGCGCGTTCAGTTTCAGTCACGACCTTTAGGTATCTTTGTAGCAGGGAGGGAGACCCGGGTCGGTGCTTACAGATTGTAGTTGGACAGCGATAGCTGCACTAATATGAGCATTTACACAGATGGCGGATGATAAATGAGAAAGTGGTGATTTACGGGCTCGTCGATGTGAGGAAGGGCTGTAATCTCAGTCACACCTCGCTAACTAATCTGTTGAGGTGCTTCAGTTTGTGGTTTTTCTGGCTTGATTCAAGGTTAGACAGCATTTGAACTATATCATCTTTTGCCACTTAAAAAACGTGAGAATATTACAGTTACAATATACAGTTAGATTTCAGTGTAGTAACCTATCATATGCTTCTGCCGGTATTGTCATTGACCAGTGCGGTTGTTTGTTTGGCTTCACAAAGGACGAAGACAAACACAATAGTATTTAAAAACATCGCGGAGGTGATCGATGGTGTTTTTAAGTGTATCTCAGTAATTGCTGCGTGTCAGTGTTAGTTTGGTGGTTTGGATAAATACCTCGGCTACACTGAGGCGGTCAAAACACTATGGACAAGACAGAGTCAAGTCAGAACAGAAAAATCCATGATTACACCACATACTATTGGCAGAAAATACTTGCAGTGTCACCACATTGCTATGAATAGCCGGCATGATGGGTGTGTTTCCTAGGAGTAAAAAGGGAACACTTGCAAAGTCTTGGACACCACACAGTCTCATTCAGCCAGAGGAAGCAAGCATTATTCAAAATATGGCAGTGTGTTGAAACTTTTCAGTTTGTACACTCAGTTTCCTGTTTATCGAGTGTACCTGACCTACCTTAACACTAATGCATTCTCATACGACAGGCAGGCAAATACATCCTAATTTGCTGACAGTTATAATGTTCAGTTTTTTTTGAAAATGTGTAAAGACTTGTTGGTTCAGCTGGAAATTGTGATACTGTTTCACTATATTGCAATTTAATGAGAGGTGTTTCTAAAAAAAATCTTGATTAGACTGCATTCATTTCAGTTATTTGTACCTAATGAAGTGGCAATAGAGGGTATGTGTTGATAAAGTTGTCAAGACTTAACACATTTTCTGTATGTTTTTCTCAGGTAGCACCCTCATGCCAGTCAACATATGTATTTCATCCTCAATGGTGATCCAGGAGGTATACATCACAGCATGCTATTGTGAAGAGGAAACCTATTAGGTAGGTTGCCTCATCTTGTTCTCATCTTGCACTTTTCTTGTTTTCACTGTTTTTTGAGAGCTAACAGCAGCTAACATCATGTCATCTAGTTATCTCTTGTGCAAAAGCTGGAAGAGTGGCATTCCTGTTTTAACAGTCTGCTGATAGAAACCCTTTACTTGAGAACACATTTGCAAACCAATTAATCTGGAAAACAAGCCTTTAAAGATGCATAAAAGGAGTGTTGAATAACTTGAGTGTGGACATAGCTTCTTCTTTTTTGTTTGTCAACTATAACAAATGCCTCAGATGCTTCAGTTGTGGGACAAATGTTTCATTGAGTTTGGAGCTAGATTAACCTACCTTGATACAAAGATTTTTATTTGGTTGTGAATGTTCTAGATTAAATCTTATTACAGAGAAGATCATAAAAATAACAAGCCACATATGGATTCTGCTCGTAACATTGTTGGCCCTTAGATTCCATCATGATTTATTAATTTGTGTCAATATTCCCACCCAGGGCTTGTTTTATTTTTGGTTCTTATTATTTTAAAGAACAATTAAATTATATTTGCCATTAAGCTGTTTGGCAAGTTTGAAATGTGACAGTGAAACATAAAATCACTTAGTAAATCGAAACCCATTTCTTTCAGGAGCATTTTAGGCTTTTACTATTGTTTCATCTTATGTTCTTTGACAGTGCACACTAGCCCTTGCCGTGACTTAGTAGTATGTGCTGACTTTGCATCAGAGTGACCTCGCAGTGATCTGAGCAGGATGACACAGAGGTGACTGCTGGTTATGTATGGCAGAGAGAGGAGAAGAAGAGAGATAAGGCGAAAGGGAGAGAGGGACCAGTGGCTCTTGTGTTGTGCCCTCTGACTGGGAAGGGCAGACAGCTGGACAAGCAGCTGGTGTGGCTTTAATGGACCTGCTTTTCATTGACCACAGAGAAATCAATACTCCTTAAACTAGCCAAGAGAATTTTTGTTATGTTTTAACAAATACAGTATGGCATCAAATGTTGGTAATGTGAAATAAATAACACATACACATGTTAAAAGTCATATTAACTGAGGCACCCCTTGCCAGGCACACATAAAGCTTCTACAAATAGCATTGCACCTTTCAGGTCACATTTTTCTTCTGAGTACTATAATAATTCTTGACATTTTTATTTAATTGTCATGTTTCTTCATTACAGTTTGAAGATAATCGGGTGAAAGGGTTTTGCTTGCTAGCATTTTCCGCCATTTCTCCTCAGCCTCTGTGGTTCCGCTGGCGTTAGCTTTGTGAATAAAAAACATCAATATAACTTCATCCTGACACATGTAAGAGTGCCAGTGCTCTTGTGCATGTGCCATGAGTTATTCCCCACACAGCTCTAGTTCATTTTTACTGATTGAACCTCATGTCATATTACCCAACTGACAAAAATTTAGAATGGTTTCTGTTTTTTCCTGTCATTACAACATGCTGCTGTGATTAATTACAACGAAACAAAGGTGTGGGGAAAGTCAATCTTATTCAGTTAATTTATTTCCTAGATGATGCTCTACTGTAGCCTGGGTCATTTTGATGTGTGAAATGGTGCTGTCAACTGAGACGCTGCTTTCTGCCAGCCTTGATCTTTTTGATATAGGACAATGGGTTTTTTTTGTTCTGTTTTTTTAAAATTAAGCTGTACTTTCATCATTCAATAACACACACCTGCACATGCCATGTATAGGTAAATGACTGAGTGAGTGTACAGGTATGTGTCAGAGTGTGAGTGACAAATTAGACCTATAGTCAGGTGGAAGTCTAGGGGAACTATGTTATGATTTAAGTGATGTCACTAAACATTATGTACTAATAAGAATGAGAAAAGCCACATAGAGAAAACATCTGCATAGGTGGACAATACGTGACAATTGAGAATTAAAAAATTATCTACATCTGGTAGAAACTATTTACATAAATATATATTGCAAATTATTCTTGGGTTTTCTTGAATGTTCAGTACAAGTTTAAACCCAATCCAGTGAAAAATAAACAAATTGGTGTGACACAAAGAAAGAACTGACCAGAGGGCCAAACTTAAGAAGTTTATAACCAAAACAGTATTTTTCTTAAACATTTTTTATAGAATATGTCCATCACTTTGAACCTCTTACCATGAAATCAATATGTGCCTGGACGTCTTCTCTGGTTTGCTCTCATCCCCTTTGGCATTTCAGTATTGCAAGCAATTTCAAAGACACCCACTGACATGGAAAGTCTTTGGATGCAAGCAGAAACAAACAGCAGTGTGCTATTGAGAAAGCAATGTGGTTGGCTAGTCAGCTAAAGACAGACAGCTTAGCTCTGCACCGCCCATTTCAAGGGAAATGTAAAATTTGATTTAAATGCTAAGCAAAAAAAAAAGGAGTCATTTGCTTCAAAGCACCACATCAATCTACCAGAACACCACATCAACAAATAAAATGAGCACCCCTACCATACAACCTATGTCAGTTCTGTTGCTTATTAATGATTAAACAGTGTATGGCTGATTAAGTGTAAAACTTTGTTAAACATGACTATTTCACAGAAGTCTTCCTGTATAAGATGATGACAGACTTCAAAAATCTTACTGCCTATACCAATACAGTCTCTATTTAGCAACATCCGTTTCCACATGAATATGCAGTACACCCATATGCACTACACTGATATCATCGGTCACCACCTGAATTCTTTAGTCATAAAGGAAAAGCTTTGAAACTGATTTAAACACTTCAATGAATCATATACAACTGAAATTCTTCTTGATAGTGTGTCAGCTTATATAGGTAACATGGCATCTGCTGCCATCTCTGTTGCAAGGGAAACACAGATCTTAGGACAGACCCAGATTAATGTCTCCTTAAGAAATACACATCTTGACATTAAATCAAGTGGAGACATATGTGTTTATGTTGTATTAAAGTGTTATCTAATTGTAGTGGTAGTCTTTTAATAGAATGAGTGAATGTTTTGTTAATTTATATCATACGCAGACACAAATGACATTTAAAAACCTCCTTTTGCAGTTATGTTGTCAGTCACTGACTTTTCTTATTACACCAAAGAAACCTAAAATCACATATGGGTTTACTTTGTCTCAGAGAGTCACAGTGAAGCCTGCCAGCAGCAGGTAACTGGGTCTACAGATTATTATTAGCCCATATTCCTCATACACATGTACCTCAGCTGCAGGATCAGTTTCCTAAAGGGACCCGGGGCAGCCATTGATTTATCTTGAAGCCGCGGACATGGTCTCTGGGGCTGGTCCTGAAGGTTCTCCTGTGACCTTGACATGAATACAGAAGACGAAACCTCCAATGACTCATGTGTAATAACAGCTGCACGACTCAAAGGGCACTGAGCTTGAAGAGTTGAGTCCAAGGTTGTACCACCCTGGTTTATACATTTTCTTTGCCCCGCTAGTGGTAGGGCAATGCAAGGTTGATAGGGTAAGTTGTTTGCCTGTCAAACAACAGAGTGCTGTATACTTTTCCTGTAATTTTCCATTAGCTGTTCTTGTTATAATTACATATTATTATAATCTTCTTTATCTGTCTCTCATTTCTCAATCACCCCCAATAGTCATTTTTCAAAAATCTTAAGCTCTGTATAAAATGCTGTGCATTTTTCCTAACATACATTTTAACACTAGTTGTGAAAATGGTGTGTAATTGTAAAAACGTAATAATGTAAATAATTATTGTATATACAGTATCTTGTTCTTTTTATTTTGAGGAGACTGAAACCCTGAATTAAAATTTCCACAATTTCCTCTCTCCCAAAGGCAGGATGCAGTCTTCAAACCACCGACTGCGTGATATGGAGCAGCACCACCCGCTGCTGTCGGCAGGTGCAGATGTCGAGACGGGGAGCCTGGCAGCGGGAGTGATGGTTGGGAGTCCCCACGCGGGACACACTGCGGGGAACCGCACACTTTGGTTCATTCAGGACAGCTGTGGTATGGTGTGTGCAACCATGACCTGGTTCCTGGTGCTGTACGCCGAATTCGTAGTGAACTTTGTCATGCTGTTGCCCGCCAAGAGCTTCTGGTATTCGCTCCTGAACGGGGCCACCTTCAACTCTCTGGCTGTGCTTGCATTGGCCTCGCATCTGCGCACCATGTTGACTGATCCGGTAAGGATGTTAAAGAAAGTAAGAGTGGGTGAGGTTGAGGACACAGATGCAGAAAGAAGGGTAACGGGAATAAAGCAGGGTTTGAAAGTGAATAAGAGGTAGAGAAAAATGGATAGAGTTAAGAGTAAAACAGAGCATTTACCACAATACAATAAAAGGATACAATACATTTGTCGCTCATCAAAAACGATACAGAATTAATTTTGTATAAATTAAAAACAAAAAATTTAGTTTTGTATAAAGAATTATCTTACTTGAATACAAATTCATTGATATGTAATCTGTAGACTTTTTTGACATTGCTTGTAACAGCAGGAGCAGGAAGCACAGACACTTGTAGTCACTCACTGATGTAATCTGGGACACCGAGCTGACAGGCAGTGTGTGAGGGCACGCTGTGTGAGAACGCTGTGTAGAACGCTGTGTAGAACGCTGTGTAGAACGGCCTACTAAACTGTCTGAGTGTCACCCGCCACAACAGTTTAATTTGCCAGTCTGATAACAGTACTGGGAGTTTTCAGCCAAATATTCCCATTAAATTAAAAGCCCAGGAACAAAGTCAGGAACTTAGTGTTTACATTTCCACCACATCTGAACAACTGTGAATGCTCTTGGACCTTTTGCATAAGGGTTTCACATAAACTATTGTTTCAGTGCCCATCAAAAATTTTACAATTTAATTTGTGAAAATTTGACTTTTTCCCCTCAAAGTTGTTAGATTGATGCTGTTTGTTCCATCAACAGCAGCTTTTTACTTGTCTTGTATGATACAACACCATGTGATATTTCCAAATAATTGATAATATGGTTACTGTGTCTACTGTAGTCTGTGATGGCGCAGTCAAAAGTGAGTGTCACTGGGATTCATGCTACAGGGGGTTGTAGGTCAAATTCTGTTAGTGCTGCTGCTGCAACGTTGACTCAGAGAAACTAGATGTCTGATGACAGCTCTGCTGGTGCCTTCTAGCCCAACAGCCCAGCCTTAACAATTGCTCCATTTTAAAGCCCAAAATAGCACACAGAAGGTTGTGTGATGGTCTGTCAAACTGGGGATTTGACTAAGCTTTAAAAGTCTTATGTTTATTTCTGTATTTCATTTTAAGTGGCAGTTTCTTCAATTTGGATTTAGTCAGGTTATACCAGTAGGTTGCCAGATCAAAGAGATGCTTAGGTTAAAACATATCATACCCTGCGTTGTGTCAAGCTGCAGGAACAGTAGCGTCAGTGTCTCCTATAAAATCCAACATACAGTCCTCCTTAATTCTCAAAGACCAGTAGCTATTGGACAAGTAGCGGGTGTTTTAAGTCTTTTTCACAAGCCTAGAAAAATATAAACAGTTATTAAATTGTTGCATGCATAAAGACACAGATCGACTTCTTGAAGGCTGTGGCATAATGCATCTATTTGTAACTGACAGCATTTGTCTTTGCCTGTCTTAGGGTGCAGTTCCAAAGGGTAACGCAACCAAGGAGTACATGGAGAGCTTGCAGCTGAAGCCTGGTGAGGTCATCTACAAGTGCCCAAAGTGCTGCAGTATCAAGCCTGAGAGGGCACACCACTGCAGGTCTGTAAAGCTGTTGTAGACACATACTTTTGTGCTAACAGGGGCAGCATAGTTGTGACATTAGCATTAGCAGTCAGTCTGTCATCTCTCTCCTGCTTGCAGTATTTGTAAAAGATGCATCCGGAAGATGGATCACCACTGTCCCTGGGTCAATAACTGTGTGGGAGAAAAGAATCAGAGATTCTTTGTTCTGTTCACTGTAAGTACACAGAGGTACTTGTGCTGAAGTCTTTTTGTCAAAACATGCTTTTAATTTTACAGTTATTTAACTTACATGATTTTGTATCAGGGTCGAGGGAAAAAATGACCAAATTGAAAATCATCTCACTTGCTTGTATTTCATGATGAAATGACCACCTGAGGTCCATAGTTCAGGTTTGCACAGCAATCACAGGTCTACATGAAATAGCCATTTGTGGCTCTCCTGACAACATCAGCACTTTTTTATGGCCTCATATGCTGACTACAACTTTTTGGCTACAGAAACATAAAGCTGTCCCATATGGCTGAGCAGTACAAGGTCACTTGTGTGATTAAATTTTTTGTTTGATCTCCTTTCAGACTGCCAAAGATAAGAGAAGTTAACAGTAAAAAATATATGCATACATTACCTAAAATGACATATAATCAAATGAACAGCAAGTCAAAAGACAAAAAGTGGAAGCCAAACTGATGGGCTCCTCCTTTTTGCCTTTTCTCTGTCACATTTTCTCACTATCTCCCTCCCACCTTCTGTTCTTCTCTCCAGATGTACATAGCCTTGATTTCTGCCCATGCCTTGGGCCTCAGTGGAATGCACTTCTTCACTTGTATTAAAGCCCAGTGGAACGGTAAGGCAAACAGAATGTGATAGAGTAGTGTATGAGTTAGAAACACAACTATTTATACGAGTGATTGATACTGCTTAGAGAGATGAAGAGACAGACAGAGCAGACAGGAAAAAGAAAGAGATTGTTGTCTGGTTGCAAGAAGAGCTGTTCTGCACAGGTCATTGGAATTGTGCAGCAAAATCATCACAGAGCTGCCATTGATCTTTTCTTGCTCCCTTGTGGGTGTCTCTGTAGGAATGAACCAGAAAATTAAGATGATATTTCATTCTTAGAATTCTTAGAACAACTTCTTCTGCCCTCTACAGGACAATACTCTTGACTTAGCAAAGAAATAATTTTCCACATATTTTTTCCCAAACAATCCAGTATTCAAGGCTACTGTGACAGATGCAAAATTGCAAATTTACACCACAGTTCATTCTTAGTTTCAAACCTTTCTTGTGTGTAGGTTTAGTTTTCCATTTAGTCAGAATTGGGTAACAGTTTTGGGTAGGATGCAATAGAGTTGCTGTGCTCACATTCAGTGCTATGTTTAGGTCAGGTGCAGGATTGCAGCATCAGGAAAACAAAAAAGAGGAGACTACACACACTAGATTATTAGCTCACATAACGTTCTTGAACTTCGATAGGCAACATTCAAACAATAGGGTCTTTGTTTGACCATGTTGTAGGATCTTACCCAATTGTCTACTTTGGCTTTTAGGACCTTAAAGGGGAGGAGTGTAACCCTTTGGAATATGACCGCTTGTTCTTAATGCATTGTTAATTTAGTTGGTGTTTCATGGAAAATTTCAGTTGTTCAGTGCAAATAAAACAAACCTTTCTTCCTCTCCTTTTCTGACCAGAGTGCAGTGAGTTCTCTCCAGGGGTGTCTGTGCTGCTGTTGATCTTCCTCTGTCTCGAAGCCATCCTCTTTCTCACTTTCACAGCTGTAATGTTTGGTACGCAGATCCACTCCATCTGCAATGACGAGACGGTCAGTATCCACTGCATCCTACAAGCTTTGTTCCTCTCTACAAGTTGTGTGTATGTGGCAGGGATGGTCACTGTAAGATGAGGGCATCTAGGAGAGAATAGACAAGGGAACCGTAGTCTTGATACATGCCTTTGTGCTCAAGTATATATAATATGTAACTAGTTTAATTTAATACTTTGTTTTCTCTGGTGAGGAAACAAAGTATCAATATGATACCCTAAGGTTTTCTCTCAGGTTTGTCCCAGTGCTTTATGTCATTTTAATGTGTAAGTGTAAGTGTGTATTTTACCATGCTAATGAGCCAAAGCAAACAGGTAACTTAATGAGGAATCTTTCATTTACAGAGGGGTTTGAATGTCTTGCAGGAGATCGAACGTCTTAAAAATGAGAAGCCCACATGGGAGCGTCGCATGAGATGGGACGGAATGAAAGCTGTGTTTGGGGGTCCGCCCTCTCTGCTATGGTGCAATCCATTCACAGGCCTGCGTTTGCGACGTCTGTTGCTGTTGACCCATGGTCGCCGCGGTGGGTCTGAGTTTTCTGTCTGAGAGCAGGGCAGACTGATGCAGCTTGCCAACACTTGACCATCTCTAAAGCAAGATTTCTTGTCTGCCCTCCTTGGCCGGGGCTGATGAAACTCTGCTCCCCGAGCCTGTCTTTCATGTATGAGTGACAGGGAGACTGGCTGCTCCAGTGGGACCCCAGTGCATCAATCAACCAATGAAAGTTTGTATTCTCACTCAAACTTGCTGATGTAGACCCAACACCTTTGGTCTGCAAGAGTATGCTGAACATATGGAATATTGTTTTTAACATGAGCAGCTTTTTGGTTTGTTTGTGTTTTCAGGTAAAGCATGCAGTATGTAACTCAAGTGAGCTTTATTCCCTGTGAGACCATCCAAGGTGCTGTTTGAACTTAACTTATGCACCTTCAATACACAACTCCAGCAGTTTGTTTTCTCTGCTACGCACATGAGATTCAAGATTAGTGTTTGAATTTTTTGAGAGGAGATCAGCAACATATCTTTCATCATCGCTGGGCCCAGACACGTGAATCTAAATGGAGAAATGCTTGAAAGTGTTCTGTTGGACCCAGACAAGGGGATCACAGTCAAGGACATGCACTACTTACATGGCACTTGAGAAAAAGCCTGGATATGGAGCACAGTGGACATCAGAAATGGAACTGTGCTGCCTTGATTTGCATGTATGACAGCTCAATCAGTCAGCATCTCAGCCAGAAAATGAGGCTTTCACTATGTTCAAATGAATGAACGGGCTACTGTGAACACAAGCCTCATTCTTATTCAAGAGGACTGAGTGGCTTTTCCTGTCTGTTCATCTCCTTTGTCATGTTTTTCCTGCCTTGGGTTGAAATTGTTCCTTCTTTAGGTTAACCAAGCCAGTATGAATTAATTTTTTTTTTTTTTTTTTTAAACTGCTGAAGCTCCTTTAATTTTCATCACAGTGACCACTCCTCAACAATTGCCCATAATAACTCACTGGAGATGACTACTGTTATTCAGAATCTTCATTTGGGGGGGGGGTGTCAGTTTTGTATTAGTCATATGTCTGTGTTCATAAATTTGCTATTCCACCACTCCTACATGCTGCTCCACATATCATTCTCTACAACTGATCGGTAACCCACAGACCACTGATAAGCCTCCCTGTGTTTTCATAATGAAGGGATTCAGATTCAGAGCAACTTTGGCTGCCAATGTTATTAAGTTTGAATTGTTTTACTCATAAAGTTTTTCTCTCTATGAGGCTATCAGAGACTACATCTGTGTATAGTAGGAATCCGTGTGCAAGAGCAGTTGGATAAGACTTCATAGCATTTAAACCCTGGAAAACAACCTTACAAAACCCCTTGAGACAGAGCCAAGTCTCAGACATAGTGGCTTTGCATGCTCCTTGGCCACCGAGTGGTGCAACTCGGTATATCCTTTTGAAAAGGAGAATTTAAAATACTAGTACAACCTCCTCTGACTCATTGTGAGCTCATTCTGATCTGCAGAGCCAAGCTCCGTTGTGCAGCCAGCCTGTAGAATTATAAAGGAACTGCTTTGCTGAAAGAGGCTGAGGGACTGCACTCCTTATACAAGCTTTAATACTCAACAAAGTCTCGGGGAGCTCAGCAGATGCTTGCGAGGCCTTTCCTACTTCACTCCAGAAATGTCAGGCCTGTAACATCCAGTGGCAAGACAGTAGCAGATACTTTCCCGGTGTTATTAGAACACTTATCCATGCCTTTAAAACCATTCCGTCAAGTGAATTTATCAGCTTGAAAGATTTTGTCATTATTGCCATATTTATGAAAGTGTTTTCTCACTTTGTGACAAATATGTCTCCTATTTTTACTCTGCATTAGTAATGGGCCTGTTTGCACTGGATGAATGTGGCTTTTTGAATCTAGAGTTCAAGATTTAAAGTCAAGTCCTGACTGTTAGGCTGGTATTGTCAAAGTGTTGTCAAATCTAGATTCTCAAAGTCTCATTTTTATGGCGTGTTGGACAATATACTGCTGTTTGTTCTCATCTGTGGTTGTCAGGAGAAAGAACTCTGTCTCCACTGTTTACACTACATGATGATATCTGACGCTCTGTGGCTATGATGTTTTAAGACACATGCTGTCATTAGAATGTAAAACTTATCTATTTTGGGAATAAGGGACACAGCACTGAAAGCTAACTGATATATCAGGGGATTTTATTAATGCTGGCCTCATAATTTATAGTTTATTCTGCTTGACTGCATCACCTCAGCAACAGTTTTTCTGGTTAAATGTTTGGAGAATATCACTTTGTTATTCAAACAATGTCATAATTTCTCTATATTCAGCATGGTTCATTCAGCAAGTCCCTTATCCCAACATGCTCATTGTACTTTTTAATGTGTGAGTAGCAAAGTCCAATTAAGCCAAACACATGGCATGTCCATAAAAATCATAAGCATAAGACAGATTGTATTGTAAGACAACAGGGAAATTTGTACCTTTTAATTTTGCAGATGCACAAATATCTGGTTAATTAAGCAGCGGATGTTTTTAAAAAAAATAGTTGCAGCAATTAGTGGTAATTAGTGAGAGGCTTAGAGTCCAATAAACACAACCTTCCATTAGAATACAAGTAAATAACTGAAGCAGGACTTGAGGTAACAGTGGACTAACACACCGCTAAATTTGGTAAGTTGTATTTGTAGGAAGTAGCAGAACATCAGAGCTAATCGTGGATTGACAATTATTCTGTGTTGACTGGGTATAAATATTTGACCAAGCTTGGTCGATTGTCCTGTTTCATGACCAAACTCAGATGCTGTAATCATAATGTCTTAAACTGGGGTTCTGTCACAGGGTATGTGGTTTAACATTCAGCAATAGAATCAATGAATGATAATTTTTAAAGGGTTGTGCTGTTAAATGTATTTTGAGCCTATCTCCACTTTCTGCTGTATGTTCAAGAAAAACAACAATCACCATGGGGAGGGAACTGTATGATGTGTGAAACTGTGTAAACCAACACTACACTATTCTGACAAAGGTTTTTCTCACACTAGTTAGGGATTTGTGCAGAAAATCTAGGATAAAGAGCATTTTGTGATGTATAGTAATGATTCTTAACAGGCTGGATGTTTAATCAGATTTACCATTAACATTGCCATGAAAAGTTGAGAGGTTTTATTTCCTACTCTGAGAGAACGTTTCTTCAAGAACAAGAGTCCTTCAGCTTTATAAACAAAGTATAAAGGTTACTATTAACAATATATAAATGGAATGTTTTACTCAAGTTTTTTTTTTAATTAATGTGTCATAAACTTATAATGTCTTCTATCTTTATTGTCATTCTTTTGCATAATAAACTTGATTAAAATAAAGTCATCAGTTGTGATTGATGGTCCATAATACACAATTACTTTCTTTCTGCTACAGAGTTTTCATTCCTAATAATGCAGAAAGTGTTGTGGGTTTCACACTGACACAACATGCTGCAGATCTGCTAGAAGCAAGAAGTTGGGACAGATGTCAGTTTGGCAAGTGTATCAATGAAGTTGGATGGGCTTGCCATAAATGTTTGCCTCATTACTTGAAATTGAGATAATGATACAGTAGAGATTGTAGAGGATTTTATATTAATCTGTTGTTTGCTTTTAATAAAACAATGTGTGCATTGTTGATGTAATCATAATATGCTTATAACTAAGTGACTTTTTCATAAAATTTGCTGTGCAACATTACAGAAGAACAGACTGAACTTATGATATTGTTTGAAGGCCACAACTCCTTATATGGTAGACATCCCGGAACAGGAGTAAGACAAAAAACGAGGAATAGAGTAGGGTATTGAAACAACACAGAGAACACGTGGAGGAGCAAAACAAGAAGACAGCGGCATGGGCCGATAAGAGAATCAACCCACATTGTATTATTTTTTGACTGGGTCAGGAAGAGGTAGGGAGTCAGACTTCATGAACTGGCGCAACTGCATGTTGTTGTCAGGGAGAGATAGTTTGGCCCAGAGCTCTGTAACGATCTCCTTTTTCTAATGCTATATTGCTGTTAGATTTAATAAATACTGGGATTTGAACTTTGAAAGAGTGTCCTGTTTCCTTCATCAAACCAACACGCGAGTTCAGGAGACGAACTCAACAAGATTAACTGACATTGGAGAACTGGAGAAAACAGCTGCTGTGGCATAAAATAAATAAGATCTAGTAAAGAAGAAGTGAAAACATTTTTTGTGCTAAATGTGATACAGGAGCCCTCGTAAGCAAATCAGTGGTTATGACTTTTTGAAAGTCAGTCCACTGACAAAAGGCAGCAATTCCTCTCTCCGCCACTGAACAAACAGACACAGACACTCACAATCTGTGTGGGTCATGTTGAATATCACAAACAGATTCAACACTGGAACATTAAAATGAAAACATTAAGTGTTCTTGGGGATATTACAGTAATATGAAAGTGTGCCGAGTTGGCATTGGTAAGTGAACAAAAGAAGGTGCATATGTGTGTAATAACATAAATCAAGTTAAACGTCTTCACAAATGAGAAATACACAGTACTAATGACACCCCATTCTGTCCAGTGGGCGACAGTATAGTGTTTTCTCCTTGTGAGAGATCTGTCAATTCAGAAACGACACGTAGTGTTTGTTTTTCTTATTGTCCCTAAATTATGACTGTCAGGCAGAACGCTTTCCGAGGTCTTGATCAAACTTCATGTCTTTCAGTTGGAAAAAGCACGTACTAGTTATGCTAAACTTCATCTCTGATCCGAAATCGTCCTTCATTTATATTCTTCGCGTTTGATCGGTTGAGGCGTCACACAACTGCGATGAAGCGCTGCCTGAAAACCTAAACTCAGAGAATAAACACCCGTTGCCCCTCTTTCCCCGCCTTCACCGAGGTGACGTAAGCTCTCTCTAAAGACACCCACGGCTCCCTCACGCTTCCGTTGATATCGTCTGAATATGGCGGCAAAGGAAACTATACACAGCCATCAAACTGTTGTCGAGGGCATCGTCAACCGCTGGCTAGTGGATTACTATTTGTTTCTGGCTTTAGAGTCCTTTAAAAATGAACAATATGCGGATTTCTGTGGCATTCGTCGTGTACTTAACAGTGAGTAAATTACTATGTTTTTGCTTGTTGCCTGCCAAGCTAAAATATGATTGTTCAGCTAGCTCATATGTCCACACAACTTTGGTGTTAACGGATTGTTTCATTTACGGCAAGTTTACTGTTAAAAAGTCTCTCTGACCTGTTTTGGATTGTGCTTGTGCACGATCACCGACAGTGTCATTGTCTTAGCTAGCAACTAGCCAAGTTGTCAAAGTTGTCAGACAAACAAATCAAAAGTAAGTAGGGTGAAACTGAATGGTTGTGCTTTATTAATGGGAATTTTATCCTCCAAAAAACCGTTGTTGTTAATGGTATGATATTTGTGTATTACATCTGCACTTCAAGTGGCATTCCATTTTAAAATCGTAAACCTAATGATGCATAATGATTTTTCATTAGTAGCTATGCTGTCCACCTCACATAGGACGGACAGCCGTGTCAAGTGCTCTGATTTTCAGTTAATGCAAGTGAGATGTTACTGGACTGGCCCTGAAACATTTATTGTAGCTTAGACTTTTTCAGGATGCACAGTGTGCAGTTGTGTTAACGTAATGAACACTTACCAAAGACTTCCCAGTTCATGTCTTGAAAAACTTCTGTTAAATTCATGGTACCTCACAAAATCCTATTGCTCTACTCCAACTACTTTTTTGTTATATCTTTCCCACAAAAAAGTAAAAAAAAAAAAAAAAAATTAAAATAGTCTGTCTTGGAAAAGTATTCATCAAATTATCTAAAACGTGGGGTTTTCAGCTCCAAAGCTATTTTTACCAACATCTGTGGCACCCTTTTATGCAGGGTGAAATAACTTCTATATGTGATGGTACTATATTAATGCTACACAGAATCGGAATTTGGTTGCAAAAAAGTGAAAACTAGTCAATCAAATTAATATTAATTTTTGATGGTTCTTTGTTTGTTTAAAAGAAATATTCATTTTTATTGATATGATTCCTGCAAAACATCCAGCAGCAACTATTTACATGAATACATGTTGCAAATTATCCTTAGGTTGTCTTGGATATTCAGTACAAATTCCAACTCAGTCCAGTAGAAAAAAAACAATTGGTGTGACATCCATGACCTGGGAAAATGAAATGACCTGGGATATAAATTTGTACACATTCTGTTGATCTTCTATGAAGAAATTGATTGAAATAAAGACTGCACAGTGTAGAGCCAGCTATGAATGTGAATTATTTACCGCAATATGTGTTTTTAGGAGAAATGACAAGCTTATTCATTGACTTGTTACAGGTGTCTTGGCCCGTCCTTTGGAGTCCACTGATACCATGCCAACAAAAATTGGGATATTGCAGTTCCTCTCCAGGATAAATGAGGGCGAAAGACTTGGTGAGATCAGTATTAATACACTCACCGTGGCACATCAGCTCAGTAACTTTGTCAACAGTGTGTATCATTGGTAGTTTTAATTTAGCTGCGTCTATGTATATCATTTTCTATCTATGCATAGTAGAAAACATTAAAATAAGCTTCATTCCAAAATGCAGAAGTGTAATATTTACTTGGTAACTAGTAAATAAAATAACATGTTAAAAATGTGCATGTAACTATTTACATAAAGGACAATTTTATTCAAAGTACCACAGTAATGTCACATTTTCAGTCCAACATGTATAAACAGCACCTGATAATATTTGAAAACTCGCAATGAAATAGTAAAGTTTTGAATTATATTGCACACAAAAACTGTAGTAGTAGTTGTAGTATGTTTGCTGACTAAAAGGAGATATCAGCTCAGTATTGTTAGTCATATTGAAAGTGTATAAAATTCAAATTCAAGACTTTTCTCTAAATCTACTCTTTAGCATATATGCGGTCCTACTTCCACAATGTGACTTGACACCCGATTGGATATTGCTTTGCCTTTGCTTACAGACCTGGTATTTGAGTCTGACCAGTCAATAACTCCTCTGGAATCAGCCTTAATGTTGCTGGAAGGCATCAACCAAAAATGCAGTATTCCACAGCAGGATTTCGAGAATGTAAGCACTTCAATTAAAGAGATGGTAAGGACTCTTCTTATTTTTTCAAACATTCATGTTCTGCACAGGTTCCATTAACACAAATACAGTTTAAACTATGATGCTAGTGCTGCACCGATTGTGTATCTGTGTCTGCGTTTGTGTGTGTGCGTGTGTTCATGCTTTTGTGTGTATTTGCTTTCACAAAGTTTACTGACATTTTATTTAACAATTTTTTTTGTCTGTCTTTAGATTGTGCGGATTTTAATTAAATACAATGAATTTGAGAAAGCAAAGGAGCTGCTGATCAAACACTTCCCCAAACCAATGGTTGGCAAGGTGAGTTCAGTAACATTCAGTAATGTTTAATCGACAGCTTTGTAATGTCAGTGAGTCAAATCAGCATTTAACTTCCACTTCCTATGTTAATGCATTAATATTTCCATTAATCATACTGTCATTGTATTGTTACAGAAAAGTTGCAGTGTACATTGTTAGCTGAAATGTCGTGTATTGAATCATAATGGGCATACTTTTTAAAATGGGTGGGTAAGCAGCACACCTCTTGAGCACCCTCAGGCTGGTGCAGGGTCTGCTGCCCAGTCTGCTTCACTTTCCTTTCCTCATGTCATTAGCGGTGGTGGTCAGGATGTCTGTTGATGAGGGCCATGGAGTGCTCTTGTTGGAGCGAGACAGTAGTGGATGATCCTAGATCCTTCTTTCTTTGTTGTTGCAGCCATTTCCTTTTGTTGTATAGTCTGCAAAGTAAATTGATCAGAAGTGGTGTGTATATTGATATTTTGGTCCCTCACAAATGTATGCATACACATACTATACACTGGCATGCAAAAGTTTGGGCACCCCTGGTAAAAAAAAATTCTTTGCTGAGAAAAGTTGAGTGAGTTTAGTATGAACTGACCTCTAGTCAAAGAAGAAACATTCTTTCCAAGATTTTAAGCAAGATTAGTGTATTGTTCTTGTTTTGTACAGTTTTAGTGTGAAGAAAGCAAAGGAGTACCATGCAATGATTTGCACAGATTTGAGACTCTGGAGTGGTGGTGTATTGTTCTACTGTGCAGCAACAACTGCACAAATACTGTATAACTTTCAATGGAAGAATCATCACAAGAAAACCTTTCCTGGATCCTCACCACAAAATTCAGCATCAGACATTTGCAAAGGAACATCTAAACAAACCTGATGCGTTTTGGAAAAAAGCTAACTGCAAGCTGAAGGTTTTGCCATGGCCCTCACAGCCCCCTGACCTAAACAT